AAAAATATTGCAAACCATTAGCTTCAGCATAAATAATTTCTTTAGAAAAAAGGTTTAATTGCATTTATGATTTGAGTAATGCAAAAAGCAAACATTATATTATTGCCTCGATAAGTCATCCAAAGTTTAAAATGAAATGGGTTCCTACTAGATATATAAGCTTATGTAAGGCATTATTTTTAAACGAATGCAATACATTTAAAGATCGAAATTCCGTACCTGGATCTTCATCTGATAATAAGAATAGTGATGCTAGTGATGACTTCTACAACAATTTATCGGGACAAACTAAATCGTATCATTCATCGTGTACTCAGTTTAACACTGAAGGATTTTTCAACTGGAAAAATTCTAATGAATGACTTCTGGAACATGAACCTTTAAACAATTATCTCAATACCTTATAGAATTTATAGATTGTTCAATCATTCAATCATTCTAGGTCGTATTGATGTCAAACTTCAAAAACAAATGGACAAAGAAAAATGTTATTGGAAAATGGTTTTGACGAGAGTTGTGAGTGTTTATAAAAACGCGGATTGGCTTTATGAGTAGATAATGAACTTATTGGTTCTCAAAGTAATAGAAACTAGCTTGATTTACAAGTAGGTATACTTATTGCTGAATATGACGAGTTTTTGAAAAAAACATATTCAAGAAAACGGTAATTGAGGAAGTGGCAATACTAATTTTTATCTTCAACTGTTTATGAAGAGTTAATACAATGTATGTGATATCAAGTATTTAACACTATAGTTTCACGTATAACAAAATCATATTACTATTCTATATCTATAGATTCAAGGCCTGAAGAAGGTCATGTCGATCAATTTTTAGTTTTTTTTTTTCTTTGGAACAAAATGTTAATTTTTTACTGCTAGGTAGGAATTTCAAAAAATCGATTTGCTCCAGGCACCCGAAAGTGTAAATCCGGCCCTGGAATCAAAACCGGATGATAATTGAGTTACTAAATTCAGATTATTTAGTCGATACATAGGTACATATCTAACAACTAATATATGTGAATCATTTCATACACATCTTCATTCAAGTTTCAATTCAACTCACCCCAATTTACATTGCATCATTACAAAACTAAAAGAAGTACAAACAGAAACGTACATTAAGATCAACAGCCTAAATGTACCATTTCAATTTCAAAATACAAAGGCTAAAAACAAAAAAGAATTCTTAGATAGAACAATTATCACTTGTGGTTGTGTCCTCTGGGTAATGCTAAATCTAAATGGTTCCCAAAACTATCATGAGAAATTTATATTTTTTTTCAGACCAAGTTTACACGTCTATCATTTTTAACTGAAAAAAAATCAACTATTTAATTTATAAAAATATATAATATTCTGTTAAATATTACAATTTTGTGGTCAGTAACAAATCGTCACGGTATAACGTTTATACACGAACTTTCATACAGTTTTTGCATTAAATTTAGTATTTGTACTTAAGTGTAAAAGTTTTAGCAATCGTGTTCTACCCAAAATGACATGTCGACAGAATATATAGTATATACAAACCATGGATGCCAAACTACGGATGGCGCCTGAAAGTTTTTATAATAATAGGTAGCCTATATTATTCTTCTTCCTGCTTTATATTTTATTTTTCAATAAATTGTGTTTCTCACAAACCTATTTCGCTGACCACCTCTTATAAACAATATATTTTCATATTATACTGTAAATGACATTGATGTTTGGGTGTCAGAAACGTATACGAAATAATAATCAGACTGATTAATGACTATAGAGTCAACATTATACTTTAATCGATATAAGTTGTTTTATTTATAAAAAAAATGCATTAAACAATTTAAACTTCTTAACTGCAGCAGTATAAACACATAGGTTTGTGTCAACCTACTCAACCTACGATATCCGTCGCAGAGGTAGCTATTGTGTTTAAATCTTCGGCATCCATTTATTTTCCGATATATCCTACACCTGATTGTTTTACCTGAAATATGCAGGGAGGACGTTTGAAAGAATTTCGTAAAAAAAAAAAAAACGACATAATGTTCATTTACGATTATTATACTATTCTTTATTACACATAAAACATTCACTTACACGGTATAATAATATATATTATAATTTCAATAGTGTTACACACTCGAGTAAAACGGTTTAAATATTTACAAATCATACGAGATATATATATAATATGTAGGTACGACAGAAAATTCAAACATATACATATTATAATAATTATTATATTTAAATTTATATTTTTATTATTATTATTATTATTGTTTTGTTAAAAATTAAATATAATAATTAATATAATAGCGAGATATATGATTTAATAGAAAATATCTAATAATTATAATAATATAATATAATAATTTACATAGACGTATCGAGCCACGTACGGTAAATAATTAAATAAATAAAAAAAGATTTCTAACGATATTTACAGCGTACGTATAAATAAATAAAAACACACATAACACATTTCGCGACAGCCATCTGCAGAGCGAAACGCACAATAATAATAATATAATAATAAGAAACATCTTTGGTTACCTAGTTTTTATCAATCCATTACACCTATTCATCTATGTATATCTAAAATGCAATGTACATTCATTTTATGTATATAATCTTAATATGTTATGTGTGTGTAAGTAATTGAATAAGCCAATAAATACGAATTCTAAAATGTTTTTTTTTTTATTATTATTTTTTTTTTTTTCGTTAATGTGTCAAAGGAAAGAAAAAAAACCAAAAATGTATAATATAATAATGATGAAACATTATTAAATATAAATAATAATAGTTATTGGTAACTGCGAGAATTTCGTAAATATAAATCATATTGATCGTTATTGTAACAAAAACGTCATTCTKGCTGTTCGTTATTGCATACCAACCAATGCGTGACTCTATTTCAGGGCTACACACCAATGAACTGACTCTACAGTTGACAACAATTTCCGTCAGTCTTAATAGATATTTAGATTATATTATGAGAATAAGTTTCCATGTCGCGTAGTCTACCTGCGTACGTAGACTAGAGTAGTTTTTGTAACGATTGTGATAACTAATAAAAATTACAACTAACACAAAATGAACGAATAATTACGACTTCTTAAAACGCTTTTTACATTTTTTTTTTTTGGCAAACCGAAGAATATATATCATAATACATAATAATAATAGTGTACAACTGGAAGAAACGAAAAAAACACGACGAATTAATATTCTAATAATATATTGCACATAAATCTCGCGGACCTCACCGCAGTACCATCAAAGCCGGTCGTAAAGATTGTGGGGGTGGAGGGGGGATGTTTTTCGATTCCCAGGTATTGACGATATATATTTGCACGTAAATCGGAAAAAAAGTGATTAGAAAACGAAAAAAAATGTCAGCTCCCAGACACGGGTTGAACGCAAAGACCGGCTTTTGAAGGTGATTGATCCTGCA